TTGTCAAATAAACCATAACCTCTAGTGCACAACTTAGCCTTACTAGGCCTCAGAGGCGTACCCATAAGGGTCTGATCCCCCCTCTCCCCTTAAAAGCTTTAATCCACAGCGAGTGTACGGCTCAAATTTTTTAACGGGGATCCAGACCATTCTAGCAACGCTAAACTATGTCATGGACTTGATTTTTCCTCACAAATATCCATTCCAATAAAGAGAAACTACTCCTAGCAATAGGAAACCATCCAAATTGACACTAGCATAATTCTGTCTTCATTCAAGCAATTCTAAAATAACAACAGAATTAAAACTTAATGAATTTTCTGCAGCATGAATGCAGAGCTTATCATAGACAAAATTCTACATTACATCACAAAAAAATAAATTTAATCCAACAAGAAATTTTCACAAAAATCCAGCTCAGTGTCAAAATATTTTCATCTCATCTTAATTCTTGATTTTATATCCTACCTGCAAAATAAGATTCCTAAAATGTCTATGCACAGCACACGTGTAACTTTGACAAAAAAACATGAATCATCCATTATCCACAAGAAGTATTCGTCCAAAAACCTTAAAAAGGTAGAATGACAAACAGAAATTTAAATAAAATCAATAATGTTGAGGACAAAAGCCATATATCCCTTTTCTTCCTCATGTACATATTATATAGAAAATGTTCATCCACAGCATGTCGGCTCACACTAACGAAAAAGGAGATTAGAAGTAAGGGAGGAGGGGGAGGGATGTTGTTTTGGATCTTCGGACTTAATTAGGATTTTGTTTGACTATAAATATTTTGGTTCCGGGGCTGCACAAAAAAATATAAGGATGGGATAACTTGACCTGTGTTACATAGACAGCAAATCCTCGGGATTAGATGCACAGCATACAAAAAAATATCATGGATAGAGACTTTTGTACACAAATTTGAGTCTCTTAGAATATCTTAATCCTTATTGATGCTGTACAAAAAGCACAAAATCAATAATGATCCATGAGAGTCATTCCAAATTGAATCTCTAAATCCTAGAAAAAAGAATTTAAATTTTACGCATTAATTATCCCCTGATTCTATTACAAGACAAAATCTAATGATTTATTCATGAATAATATTTTTGAATGAATATCTGAACGTTGTATTGAAAACTAATTATCCAGCAAATTGAACAACAAAAGCGTAGATGTTTTTGAATGGGGATGATGGATGAGACTGGTAACAGTTGCCAGTTTATTCAGAGAGAATAAAAAAAAAATTCGGATATTATTGAAATTTTGAATTTGTTCAATGGACAGTGAACATGATGTGGATGAAGTGTGGTTGTTTGATGGGTGTGGGTGTAGGAGGTGGGGGATGTAACTGTGCATTTTTAGAAATTCAAAGTTCCAAATAGGAGAACAAATAGCTAAGTTAGGAGATGGAACAAAATAAGCAGCCATTGGGTTGTTTTAAACTTTCCTCTGTCTCAATGACCTATGGTGTCTTAGAAGAGTCGAATTTAAGCGAATCTGCCAATGTGAGAGTTATGTCTGTGTGGCTGAATGTTAAGGAAACAGTCCACTTATCTGTAAAACTATTTTGTAAATACGTGGGTTCGATTCCTACCAAAAACTGATCTCTCAAACTATAACCAAGGGTGTGAAACTGATGAAATGATCAATAATGATCAAAATTGATAAATATGTAATTTGTCAGTTCCGCACTCATGACTATAACACAGAATTGTTGATGTGACAAGGATTTTTATAATGCTCATTCAGACATTTCATTTCCTGTAGCTTCTTGATTCATAATAAATTAAAGATAACATGTAGTTCATTGCTGGTTAATAAATGAAAATTGATCATTACTTTTAAAGCGGCACGGCCTGGGAGGGACTTGCTGAATGAATCTCTGCAAGTTGAATACTTGATAAGATCTAAGTTTTTGAATACAGAACGTCTTTGCCTTTTTTGCCTCTATATGTGATCTAGGTTACGTATCCATTTCTATAGGGAATGATGTGGTGATATGAAGGTTCATGATTGATGTCTAAGAACTAGTAGTCGCTAGATCGATAAAACAATCAATATATATTGCGACTGATCATCATGATAAACGATAATTGCCGATATTTGCTCTCACGAATATGAGAGAGGATATGAATGCATATCGCATGTAAAATGGATGTCTGTACACAATGCGACAAAGCATTTGTGTCGTACCACTACACCTGTGACTTACTATGGGTTGGGTAGACCTAGAAACTTACTTCAAGCTGATATTAAGCTAGCAACCCTTAAAATTAAAAAGAAGGTCTTATTTCTTTGTTTTTGAAGACACTGCAAGACGAACCGACATTGAACAACGACAAACTCAAGTTTATACAGAACAGTCAACCCTAGTTTGTTAAATCATCGATTTATATATTCATAAAAGTCCCCAATTTCGTATGTAAATTGTGCATTCATTATTTTAATGATACATATTATCAATCGGAAAAATAACACAGAACAATAAAATCTCTCGATAACAATTTAATTCACAATTATCTTCATATTTGAACAGCATCAAAATTGTGATAGGATAACAATCCCTTCCATTTTCAAAAATTTCAACTGCTCAATTAAGTTAAATGGAAAAAATATTCGCAAACTGCTGTCCAAACTTAATAATCAAAGGGAGACACAATATGGATAAAATCAATGAAAAATTTTTAATGAATTTATAGAAAAGTTTTTTTTTTATTCCACTGACTCTCATGCTGCAAAAATTAAATGAATGGAATTTTATAATGTAAAACTCAATGACTAAGTAAATCCACTCAATTTGGCCTTTTTATGTATGTGCACATATGAATGTAATCGATGATAAAATTTAATTGAATGGGATTATTGATACTCAACTAGCTTCATATTCAGTTTTAATTTTTTTTATGTTTTTTTTCTCATTGAATAAATAAATTTATGAGCTCAAATAGTTACATAACCTAGTATCAATAGTTTTATTGGCTTGGTGGTTGGAGGAGTAATTTATGTATGATAATAGAGCTAATATTTATAAATTGCATAGCAATTTACAGTGAAGGTTACACATTTAACTTTTATTTTGTATGGAACTAAAAATATAAATTATTTCACATTAAAAATAGATTTATGGATCATAATTTCTAAATAATATTAATATTATTGGAAAAATGAAATAGTTTGTATATTTAGTGTCTATTGAGGATATTGAATGGTATGGAAATTTGATATCAAAATTGGCTTTTAGGTGAAATCGTTGAAAATATTGGGAGGAGTGTAGTCAATGAGGAGTCATAGGAGTACTCCTATCTATATTTGACATTACTACAATATTTAGCAATGTTTTCTGCGTTTGATTTGTCTACACCCTTCCCTGACAGACTACAGATTCTCTTCAAAAACCTCCAAAAAATCCTAATGATCTCTTCATTCTTCAATTTCATCACTTAACTAAAAGACAAACTTTCCAAATAAAAAGAAGACAACCAAAAACAATTTCGGAAAAGCAATTAATAACCAATAATAAAACGAGTATAGAAGTCATCGTTACAGACATGAACAGACGAAATAAGCGCATTTTCGTCGAGTTGATCAGATGATTCATGTTCAAGTCATGTCTGGAAATAAAAACTAAGATCCAGTAGAGTCTTGGTCATGTTTGCAACTAAAAACTAAAATCCAGTAGAGTCTTAGTCATGTTTGGAACTTAAAACTAAGATCCAGTAGAATCTTAGTCATGTTTTGAACTAAAAACTAAGATCCAGTAGAGTCTTGGTCATGTTTTGAACTAAAAACTAAGATCCAGTAGAATCTTAGTCATGTTTTGAACTAAAAACTAAGATCCAGTAGAGTCTTGGTCATGTTTTGAACTAAAAACTAAGATCCAGTAGAGTCTTGGTCATGTTTTGAACTAAAAACTAAGTTCCAGTAGAGTCTTAGTCATGTTTTGAACTAAAAACTAAGATCCAGTAGAGTCTTAGTCAGGTTTTGAACTAAAAACTAAGATCCAGTAGAGTCTTGGTCATGTTTGGAACTTAAAACTAAGATCAACCAGTCAGCAAGCCAGTCATCCAGCAATTAAACGAATCAAAGTGGACCAAAAAGCATAATGTTTCCGAAAAAGCTCTCTCCATCCCACAGTTCCATAAAAATCATCTACAATAATGACTATTTAGTGCTTATACATCTTCCAGCAAAGCATAAAAAGCTGTTGAGATGATAAATTGCCATTGAAACACATGTCACCAACAAATGACACATGATATCGATTCGAAAATAATTGATAACGAGGAAGAAGAAAAAAATGAGAAAGGATAGTAAGAAGTCATCGTTCTTTTCCTCATTTTCCCCCTCAAAAAAATCTATTTTTCGTCTGAAGCTGTCTTGTTCAGCTTGTGTGAGAATTTGAAATCAGAAACAGAATGGAGATGTTTTTCCGATCAGATTCACGAGGAAGAAGAAGCTCTTATCTGATTTTTCTCGGTAGGCTCTCTGAGCACATTAATCAAATATTTTGGAAAGGACAGGGATGAAAGTATTTAATGGAATTTACATAAGGCATTTCAATGTGCATATCATGCATGAATTTCTCATCAATTTAAACGAAAAGGTGGAATTTGGGTGGGGTTTTGGAATTACTTGGGAATTACTTTAGAATTACTTTTAAAAAAATCAACTAAAATAAAGGGTCGTTCACTTATGACGTCCATCAAAAAATCTGATTTTTTTGACCCCCCTCCCCACCTCTGTCACAAAAATTCTATCGAAAAAAATTTTCATTGTTTGAACTGTCACAAAATCTTAGACCCCCCCCCCCCCCCCTAAATGTCGGACGTCATAAGTGAACGGCCCCTAAGATATATCCCGAGACAATGAGATAATAAAGAATCCTCATCCCATTTTCACATTTCATTGCAATCTGTTTCCATCCTATGAAAAAAATAAATATAATAACAGCAATAATAATTCTCATTTTCATTTCTTATGCCTATTTTCAGACCATTGTTGCTCAGTAAAGATAAAGCAAATCACAGTTCCATCAGTTGTTGTGATGGATTACGATAAAGCAAACAACAAGAAGCCATTAAATGAATTCTTTTTAGACTGCGAATATGATGTTGATGAGAATGAGAATGGATTAGTCATCAAATGGCTATTAAATGGTAATCTTGTGTATCAGTGGATTCCGCCACGCGCTCCAACAGCACTGTCGATTTTCAAGAATCGAATTAAGAAAGATTTTACAGTTGATGATGATCCGCTCAAGAAATATCGTGGAATTGCTGTGACGAAGCCATTGTTGAATTTTACAGGCGAATATTCATGTTCGGTGCAGACTTTTCAGTCGTCTGATAAAAAATCATCGCATTTGCAAATAGTTGGTAGGTATTAAGTTTGTAATAGGCTCAATGCAGCTGTGTGTATTCATGGATCGTTAATAATTATTAAGTGCAGGAGTGTATTCAGGTCTATGAAGGTTAAGGGAGGAATTATTGCGATTCACGTAGGTTTAAAGAAGTCTATGAGGGGTAAACAAGGTTGAAGGTAGCTTTAGGAAGTCTAAAGGAGTTAAAGTTGATCTTAGGGAAGTTAACCTGGTTGCAGAGAACTTAATGAATGAAATGCAATTGATTTATAAGTTTTAGTGATACTTAAAGCGTCTTATAAGGTCTTATGGGATCTTGTAAGGTGTTGTAGGGTCTTATGAGGTCTTATAGGGTCTTATAGGGTGGATTAGGGTTTTGAAAGGTGTTTAAGGTTCTTGTAAGGTCATATAGGGTCATGTAGAATTTTATGAGGTCTTGTAGGGTGTCATAGAGTTTTAAAGGATCTTATAGGGTCTTGTAGAGTCTTATAAGGTCTTATTGAGTATTGTTGAGTCACAGAAAAGTTTAAAAAGGATTTTACAAGAATCACAGCTTAACTGTAGTCAAAGAAGTCTAGAAAGATCTATAAGATGTATAAGCTTAAACAACTGCCTTAGTTTTCACTTCAATTAATATAACCTTCACCTGAATACACCCCTAAATAAATGATTTGAACAGCAGCTCAATAGGTAGTCAATAATGCTATAAAAAAGTTCTTTTAATGCTCGATGCACAATTAAATTCAACAATAGAAAATTTTCGAATATTCAACTTCAAAACATTCAAGCTCAAGCTTAAAAATTCAGTTCATAAAATTTCTAGTGCTTCAATTTTTCATCTCCCTAAAAAATTCATTCAAACTCGCCTGAATTTGAATTCATTGAAAATTTTCTATTGATGCTTTTAACTTTTTCGTCCAACTGCATTATTGTCGTCCATTGCCGCTGCTTCCATCTCGAAATTGTGAAGCTATTGTCTATAATAATTATCTCTCTTTTTTTCTGAACAGTGCCAGAATCACATTTTAAACTGAATTATCGTACGGACTATGAAGGAATGGTGCATATTAAATGTAGTGCTTTCAATGTATATCCGGAACCAAAATTATCGTTAAAGTATGTATAGACTAAATCTGCATTTATAAAACATTTTAAAATTGTCTCTCTAATTTATCATGTTGGATGTGGAATTAGTTTTTTTTATTTTGTTGAGTTGTGTGTTACTGATGTCATTCATGTGGTTCTTCTGTCGTTGGCGTTGATTATGCTGGTACTTTTGATAATTATTATGGTGGGATTTATTTATATGAGTTAGAATATTGTGGAAGGGATTGTTTAAGGCTGGCCAAATAAGTTGACCATAATTTGATATCAAATTATAAATTGCTATAATTGGGGTTGTCTAGGAAGAACGTAATCGGTCAATCCTCATATTGAGCAATATATAGGCCAATGTGTAGGATTATGCAGTCTTTATTATCACTAGATGCTCGGTTTCTTGATGTATCTACCTTAAATACTTGTTTTCAACCTTCTAATATCCTCCATCGTTAAGGACGCGGTAGGTAGAAGTAAATAAGTAAAAGTCTATCAAGAAACTAGCTTTGGATGATATAACCTGCTCAAAACGCAAGCTCTTATATTCAATTAAAGGTCAAGTCGATAACAATCCTTAAAAACTTGAAAAAACATTTTCCAAAAAGTCTCCAAAAATTCCACAAAGTTTACCAAACAATTTTACTTTCTATAAACTCTTTAATCAGCAGCTCAACAAACCCCAAAAATAAAAAAATTTCTCTCAAACACCTTGTCGTTCACCTTTCCACCCGAAAAATGAGCTCATTCATTTTCATGAGCAATGACGGTAATGTCGACATGCTTACATTTGTAGAATGTGCATGACAATGACATGCATGTTCTATTTAAAATTCCAGCATCAACAACAATGTGAATGACAACTTAACGAAGCATGGCAAGGAGGAAAATTGTCATGAAAATTATTTTCCTCTATCTCATCTTCCTATAAGACTTTAATTTTGAAAGTTTTATGTTAAAACTTTGTTGTACAACATTCTCATCCCTTCTCTCCTTTAATCTTGATTGCAAACTTAACAGTAACAACAAATTTCATGTTCATATCCTTCCAGCATAAATTATGTAGAGTTAAAAAGTGATGTAAATATAGTTAAAGATTCAAGAGATAACTTATATGATGCTAAGGTTATTGCGAAAATCTCGAAAACTTTTCTTAAGTCAGAAACAATAATAAATTGTCAATTAACGATGCCTGGTACTGAGTATTCAAAGAAACAGGAGACTGTGTATTATGGTGAGTATATTGTGTGGATAATTTAAGTTTTATGTGAGTTGACCGAAGTTGCTGTGGATTTTTCGGTGGAATTATCATAAAATCTAAAAAGTTCTGGTTGGTTGATTAGTCGCTCGGGTATTTATTTTGTGTGTTTTTGTATACTAAATCTAGTACTGCATTTTTGTATTCTACACCTAGTACCACATTTTGCATTATGTATATTTGGAGTACTATGTTTGGTATTCTACATCTAGTACTACATTTTGTAATCTACATCTAGTAATACACTTTGAAATCTACAAAAAGTTTACACCTAATAAGAGACACCTAATAAGTCCGATCAATCGATCAATCAGTCTTAAGATCCACTATTACTAGTGAAACAAAATAGCTATTTACCATTGAAAGTTTTACAATTTCAAACCCAATAGAATTTTACCCACAAGCAATCATCATATTTCCACACTTTTAATTTGCAAAATGACTCATAAATTTTCTCTTATCCAACACTTAAATGTCATTTCCTCTATTCATACTAAAATTGTCTTTTTCCCCCATTTTATCTCATTTTCATTCAAACATCCATACATTGATGATTTATTGCCCATTGCTCGAATGCATTATTCATTTATGTGCAACAAACTATCAACAGAACAAGAACCAACACTAACAGATTTTGATGCTTCAGACGAGGAAGGTGACTTTGAACTTTCATTGGAAACGGAGACTGGACTGTTAACGAATGCAAATCAACATGGAAAAGGTAAAGAACATTATTCATTTTCAATATTTGCTTTGTTGTCAGACAGAAGGGGTTGGAAATACAACGTGTAGGATTTGGCTGACGTTTAGCACTTTTGAGTCTGCATTGACCCTTGTCATTGTGAGCTTTGTCATGCTGTACATTCTGCGACATCATACAAATTTTTAGACGTTTTGCGACAGTTTTTATGGTCCCTTTCTTGTAAGAGGGACTTAGAGAGGTGTAATGAGAGGAATGAGGGGATTTTGGATGCTGACCCGAGTCGCAGTGAGATTCATATTGACAAAATAGGGTACGTAGGAGGCTCTGTCACTAGATTGTACTTCAATGATGATGATGCGGAGACAGCAGTTACTTGGCAGCCATGTGAATGGATTTATTTTGTGACAAAGCTACAACAAGTCTCTTTCTTGTCAACCTGAACATCATTTACACTCAGAAGGAAGCTAATTGTGTCTAAAACTAAGACAGAGTCGATCTAGATACAAAGCCAGTTTGGAATATGTCTAGGCAGGATTCATGTTAAATCTAAGATTTGAGCCAGTTGAGTCTTTAACCCTCAAAGATCATTCATCCGAACTGCACCCCTGCCTAACCCCGAGTAGTCTGTCCAAAAAGATGAATGACTGTAAATTGCTTTGTCTCTAATTGAATTTTTTTCTTCTTCTCTATTTCCATTTTTCAACTGTCTGCCTGCCTCACAAACACACATGTCAACGACATCAATAAATGGCAACATTCAACAATTTTTTTTCTCTCTCTTTTGTCATCACGACAATTGGATTAAAAATAAAAATGAACATCAAAACAGACCAAATGGCATCATCGTCAAAGCCATTTACAATCATATTTTTCGAGTGCTACATGATACTATTCTTCACAATATTCATCACAAAGCTTTGTTGAGATTGGATCTTTTTATTGCGGTATCATCACAAGAGCCACTTAACATTCACTAACGATCCAAATGAATGTAAAAATATGAATGAAAAGTTTAATGAACAAACGAAAAGTGATGATGGACGTAAAAATTTTCATATTTTTAAACGATGGTGGAGGAATTTTTAATGGAAGTAGATTTAATGTATTGACTTTAGTTCATTATTATTAAAAAAATAATAAAATCGAATAAAAAGATTCATCAGTGATTGTCATTAGATGAGATGACAAATAGAACTGTTTGTGGCGCCTAAAAGTTCTTAATAAGCATTCATAGAATCACACATACACACACACATACATATATTTTTTGACAGGGCTGAATATTGGTGAGGAGAGTTGGGGATTGGTAGATTTTAATCGACTATTTTGAATTTGAACTAATTGATCAAAAGTCCGGCACCAAGCTGATATTACTCTGGCATAGTGCTATATTTAAATCAAAGCGGTACATCTTTTAGGTATACCTTTAAAAATCTGTGTAGCAAATCATAGCTTTCCCTAGAGGCATCTTTGGGATGCTTTCAGGCACTAGCTCCATCTTAAGAACTAGTTCCCTCTTAAAAACTAGCTTCTACCCAAATATAAATGCCTAGAACATAGCTAGTCCTAGAGCCTAGTTCCCCTTCGAATATGACTGATGATGAACAAATGATAATGAACTCAAATAGCACCGGGACTCTTTATGTAAGTTAAATCCTGGATAACGATCATTTAAATTGTTCTCACATAAAACCAGCTTTTAATAAACAGATGAAATACATTATGCATCAGCTTAAAGATTGGAAGTTTAAGCTTATTTATATTCGACTTTTAAAACCAAACGTCATGTAAATTTCTTATGGCTTGAGCAAGGATACCCCTTTAAACTGATTATCCCTAGCAACTAGATCTGATTCGTTCTTAATGGTTGAGCTAGAAACTAGCACTAGGAGTTGAACTTACGCTACATTAGCATTAAAGTAAATCAAGTAATGTTGATTCAACGCTACAAACAACACTAAAGCGGTTTTAAATAACATTTTCTCAAAAGAATCTTTCAGTTAATCTTTAAAAAAATCACCTGTATCTCAAAAAGTATCCAACAAAAGCCTCCAATCCCCAACAACCTCACACAAGACATGAAAAATTATAAAAACTGAATGAAAAAAAAAAACTAATTTAAGAATGAATATAAATGTTTAGGAACATAGTTCGCTACATTTTAGATTTATTTGGTGGAACAAAACCCAAGAAAGGAAAAGAATTTGTGAACTAGACATAAAAATAAAAATAATGCAGTGCTTGAAATGTTGTCAAAAGAGATGAAAATTTATATTTTGAATGACGAAATGGATTACAATAACTGGAGCGAGGTGAATTTTGTTACTGTGTAGAATTTTTTCGCTCAATTTAAGCCATTAATTTTCTCATTTTCTGCTAAATGAACTGACCCATTTATCAAACAGAAAATCCCACTCAAATGCATATTGCAACAGTCCACTTAGCAACACAAAAGGATCATCAATAAATTATTATTTTGCTCGATAATTAATTTCCTTTTCAAATTATTCGGAAAATTCATCGATCGATTTTTTGTCTATTGAAAAATTTTGTGAGCATTCAGAGTAGGGGTCGTTCATAAATGATGTTTTTTGGAAAATAAAATTTTGACCCCCCCTACCCCTTCCCTTTATCTATAGTCTCACAGAATTTTGATATAAAAGGTTGATTTTAAGCGTCACTGAGCTTTACTGTCTCAGCGACACAGTCAGAATTTTTCGGAATAAGGGGCAGATATGGGGAGTGAGGTGGGGGGAGGGGGGTCCGATCTTATTCAATCTTTTTCAATCAAGACTATGGTCTGGAATTCCAATCAACAAATTTTAATTTTCACATACAAATCTCAAGCTTGAGGAGGGCTTAAGACCCACTTAGACTTCAACAGCTCCACTTCCAAACAATACCGACACATCATTTTAGCTCGCCCCTCAAAGTCTAATTCTAGATTTAAAAGGCTTTATTATAGTTGCATTAATAATGTGATATAAAATTAGCAGTTTGAAATGTTTTAGTGAATTTGTTGCTTCCGGGCTAATGCTTTTATGTATGAAAATTATCACACAATTTAGATGCAATTATTGAACAAGATGAAATATTGATTTATTGGAATATTCTGTTGTTAGGGAGATGAATAAATTATTTGCCTATGAATATATATTCGGTTGTGTTTTAACACTAAATTTTGGGACAATAGATTAAACTCAAATGTTTAGAGGGAATTAATTTGCTTTTGATGTTCTAATTGCGATGGCTTTGATGGGATTTTCATGTGAACTTTTGACTAATTGGACTGATATGGGGCATATATAGTTCATAATCTGTTTGATCCCTATGATAATGTTTTAAAGGCATCAATTTCTGCTGAATTTGAATATTAAATGATAAATTTTAAATTGATTGATGATTGTTAAGTTTTGTGTCTCTTAAGAGCGACTGTGGTTGAAGTCATGGTCGCAATCTATCCAATTTATTGCTATAAAATAATTTTAAACTAGAATCGTTTCTGCTGTTTGCAAAAGTAAGGCCACCGTCTATGATTGGCTACACAATAGAATAGCTTTATGCAAACATCAACACTAGATATTTTAGGTTCGATTCCTACTCGAGTAGGACCTCTTAAATCCGCAATCAATCAATTTAAAATGTAAAATCAAAATTCTCCACAGTAAAAAAATCAGGAAAAATATTTTGAATCGATGTTTAGCCACAAATAAGCTTATAAAGCTCAAAACTTCCTAAAAATGAATTCAAACAATTTTTCACTCACCTCAAAAGAAGCGAATGTCAAAAACCAAAGTTGAGAGTTGAACGATGAAAAGTTTATTGCCAGAAAGTAATTAAGTAAGTTATAATTATGAGAAAAAAAAATATACAAGCTGTAGTAGTGCTTTGTGAGAGGGCATAGGGATATTAGGATATGAAAAAAGAAGACATAAAACTTTTTTTTAGATATGACATGACCGTAAATATAAGAAACTGAAAAATAGATGACGGAGAGGAAATGCTTTTGAATTTTTGATGATGAAATTTAAATGATTTGGTGTCAGGATGAGGACTGTTAAATGTTAGTTCAAGTCAAGCATCAATTGAGTTCATTTAGATTTTATTATTGGATTTAAAGCAGATTCTCTCTTTTAGTTGAGTTTGGGGTTATGTGTTTGGAAATTGTGAGGTTAAGGAGTTGAATTTTAGTGCTTAGAAATCTACTAGAGTCGATTATGAGGCTTAGTTTACTAAGGAACCGGTTTAGATAAACTCTGAGTTTTCAACTCGACTCAATTTTGAGCTCTTTAATTACCTTGAATTAGAAGGCAATTGAAGAGCTCGAAATTGTGTTGAGTTGACATAAGTAATCTTAAACAGTCTCAACCTCTGCTAGTTCTTACTAAACCTTAAAACACAATTTCCAAACCATAAACACTAAACTTAAAAATAATAAAAATTAATTGGGTGGGACTTAAAAAAACATAGAAAAATTTGGTGATATTTTTTCAAATATGAACGAAAAAAATAAAATAAAAAATTAAAAAAATGTGGGATGAAAAAAAAGCATAATTAAATATTATTATTGAACAGAGATAAAAAATGTGTTTAGATTCCTATATGAAGATGATAAGTGTTATTTGCTGTATTTTAGACACTTAAGATGGAATAAAAAGAAAACCTTGATTTAAAAAAAAACGAAAAAAATTATACACACACAATAAATAAGGAGATGAATAAATTTTTAAATAAATTTACAGATGAAAAACAAATTTTGCTGATTTATTTTACTTTTTTTTCAGGAACCACAATCAAAAGTTAAATGACATTTGCAGGCCTAAAGTATTGTATAACAAAATTAATTCGACTTGTTTGCAGCATATTTTATAGTCGTAGATGAAAATGAGCAGCAAGAAAAAGCTGATTGACGAGGGTCTGACAGCAAGCATTTGTCAATTTATTTCGACCATTTTTTCTTTGGATTTTTGGCTTTAAAATTTTTTGTTCCTTCTTCTTCTGTTGACATTTTCATCTGTGAACTTTTGTGGAATTTAAAATCTTATTATTGAAGACAATGATTGGCAAATCATGCGGAACTGAGTTAACAAGCAGACTGGAAGTAAAGTTGAGAAGACAAAGAAATATTTTTGTGTCTTGACTGCTGAATTTTTTGAATTCTGTTCAATTTTAGGGGTTATTCATAAATGACGACTGTCCAAAAATTTAATTTTGCTAGCAGAACTTGGTCCAAATATTCATCGGACTGCTTAACAGTGTTTGATCTTTATCTCCTCCATACAGCCTTAAAACCTTGATCTTAACTTATGAACCCTCTCGTCTCACATTCAAAACTTCCAACCCTCATCCACACAAAACGCACAGCATTCACCTGCAATTATTTCTCAACAAGAGTAAAAACATCTCATTCTAAATGGCATCATGACTCTTTTATAATGATAAAGAAGCAACAAGCATGCAAACAGGAAAAATTCGTACAAAAAAATGCCAAAAGTACTTTCAAGTTTTCACACTCTCATGTCAATGACTTCATTCATCATCTGATGACTGTAAAAATATTTTTAGCTTCCTTTTACTTCTCTTTTGTGTTGTGGAAATTTTCAGAGTTGAGAATTTTGGTGTTTGTTATGTTTTAATCAGTTTAGGTGACTTGATGATGTTTTAACTATGAATTTCGGTTTTAATAGTGAATTGTATGCATCTTTCTATTGTGAGTACTCATCAGGGACGCAACCTGGATTTGAAGTCGGGTTAAATTTTCTTAATTATTACATTATACTTACAATATGATCTAAAATTTTGGAAATGTACAGCAACTCATTAATCAGATTATCCATCAGACCAATTCTGACCCTTGGGATCCTTCAGCTGCCGCTTGAAACGATCTAAACTTTTAATTTCTTATTTATTGCAGTCTATATCAACAAATGTACTTTTAATGGATAAGCTCGATCAAGGGTCGGTTTCTAGGGCTACCCGGGGTACCTTGGCCTACCTTAGTCTCGGACCATTTCTAACCTAAGATTCTAGGTGCCCTGAAAACCGGCTTCAGAGCTTAACTTCCATCCAGATCAAATCATCTTTAGGAGACCAAATTGCTCTCAATATTTACTGACATCAAACTTTTTCCAACCTGATAGCCTTAGTCCAGGATCGAATCAGAATGAGGGAAGGAGGTCTTGGAATCGGAGTCTTGGAGCTTGAAGCTTGCATTTGGTATCAGTAGCACAAAACTATTGCTATGGCATTGATTCAGCTATATCAAAGGTATATCGCATTTAAGAACGCGAAAAATACGGTTTTAAGTCTGTTTTGGGAAGGTTTTGTAAT